AATGGCGCACTCCAAAATTTGGTCCAGAGGAGCTGTCATGATAGCAATATTTGTTAATGTTGCAACATGCAAGAAATTTAATCTATCCGTTGGATCTTTCCAAAATTTGGTATGCTAATAGTACTATTTAAAAGTGACATGTAGGCTTTGAAATGGTGCACCCCAAAAGTTAGTTCGAAAGTTTTAGCTGTCATGACAGCAAAAATAATCAATCTTTTAACATGTTCAATTTTTAATCCGACCGTTGGAACTTTTTAAAATTTGGTACACTTATAGTACCCTTTGAATGTGATGTGTGAGCTTTAAAATTACTTCGATCGGAGGTCGAATGACGGAACGGTGCCTCCCTAAAGTTAGCCCAGGAGGGCGATCATGACAGTAATTTAATGTTGTCATGATAGCATCTTTTTATTCCACTTTCGTCTAGCTTGCTTCCGTGCGCTATAGGTAGAACCTATAATTTTTTTTAAGGTTTTAAATGATTTATTTCTTAAGTTGGTTAGAGGATCACGACACTTAATTTATTTAAATTATGTGATTTTTGGATAACATTCGGAGCAAGTGTTACAGGTAGCACTTGTCCTATGGTACTTGTTCTATGAGGGACTCAAACCTACAAGTCTCCACCAGTTCATGAGAAGACTAGATTAGGGGTATGATACCCCATGGTTGTTAGTATTAGGAGAAATTGGATTACACAAGTGGGTGAATTAATCCTAGTCTAGTAGCTCCTCACAAATGGGCAGCAAGATTAGTCTATAAAGGACGTAGCCACTAAATAACCACCGATTTCATGTCAGAGGTAACAGGAGGGTATAGGGCTAACATTGGATCATACATTTAGAATGCAACCACATGGTTATTATTATTGTGGTCTGACATGTGTTAGGGGCGCATGGTTGGTTTATTGCAATCCCATGTTGTGAATTGTCATTATGTGGTTATATGTGCATTAAACTCAGTCACATGATTGTTAGTCATGGTCATGTTCATCATATGTGATATATTGTGTGATTTTGCCTATTTGGATCTATTTATAATTAATATGAAATTATATAAATTAGGTAAAACTTGATTATTGAGTGGTTATACTCACTCTTCTATTCTCAATATTTCTAGGGCCTAACTCATCGAATCAAGGTCAAGGAAAACACATAAAGGCATAGGATTTGTAGAGTAATCCTTTTGGCATGCCTCTCCTTATTGCTTTATGTGTATAAATGTTTATTCAATTGCCAACTAGGAACCACATGATTATTTTTGTGCTATTTACATTATTGTACATACAACTTGTATATTTTGTGCCCTGGGTTAGTAAGTTTTGTTTATAAATCTTGTATAGGTCTAAAATACTTGTGCAAGTAAAAACATGTGTATTTTGAATGATCTAAAATGAAATTGGTTGTTTTGTGCAAAGTTTCCTCCCCCTTGTGTTTTATGAATTTGGGGTTCAATGGTGATTTTACTTTATGTGTTTTTGGTTGAATGTGGTGTATTGCACGAGTCCTCTAGAGTTCATTGAGTATGGTCGAATGGTCAATAGAGGCTTTTGACACTTGTGATTGACTTGGGACACTATTGTTATGAGTTTTATGTGAAAAAGTAGTAAAATGGATTTTGGAGCCCAACTCTTTGTACGAAATGAATTTAGGTTTGAAACTTATGACATTAGCTAGAGCTAGGAGAAAGATCCGTGTAGACACCAAAACTACCTCAATCGAACGTTAGACGAAGATTTAGGACACATTCAAAATTCGCTCCCTGTGCTATCAAATTAACAGTCGATTACTATCATATTCGTGCAATACGTCACAGCGTGTGGCACAGAGATGAGTGAGCCATGGCACACTGACACTTGATCACGGCGCATGTCACATTTTCTACACAATTTCACTATTTTGAGTTTTGAAACTTAATGTTTTGGGTCTCATATGATTTTTAGGCTTTCGCACTATTTTGAAACTTTGATTTGAGTGAAATGAGAGTGTTTAGGAGAGATTGATTTGCTAAAAGTATTGGGATCCCTTGACAAATGGTTTTAAACTTCTTCTCCCTATTATTTGTGTTTTCCCCATTTCAAATTTAGAAACTTGGTTTTATTTTTTTGTGGATTATAAAAACTCAGTAATCCCTAACGGGCTTAGTCTCATGATTACCTCAGTTTTGGAATTAATGGTGATTATTGGTAAGGATATTACACATAGGCTATAGTTCCTTCTATTCAACCCTACAACCTAGACTCTCTATCTAATATAGAGGTCTTGGAGGCCTATTCACGATCAAGAATTTATTCTCTCATAGGACAGCCTGCATCCTTTTGATGATGCCAAAGGGAGGAGAAATAGTAAAGACAGTAGGCTTAAGGGGAGTTATAGTAAGACTTCATATACTATAGGAACAGTTTCTTAGTTTTAGAGGGATGAGATAAACGTTTTGTATATCAATCATTAATAAATTAATATAATACTACTTATATCTTATTATTTATCAATGAAGTATTTTATTCAGTTCATTCATGTTATTTCAATTTTTAAATTTCAAGATCATTATTTTGAACTTACATTTTTTTTAACTCTCATGCCTAATTAAGGGAGAGTATTTTATTAAACAGAATTAAGAACTTTAATCTTAGGTTTTGTCATCATTAAAAAGGGAAAGAATATTGAATCATGTGTTTTTATTATTATAAAACTAAGGGAAGAGGTGTGTGTTATTTGTACAGATATAAAAGATCTATAGATGAGACAAAACCTTCAAGAACTTAAAGAATCAAGAGAAGAAGTTATGTAGGTTTAAGTTATTTATTTTTTTTAGATTCAATATGAAAACTATGAGAGCTTAATCACATTTTATCTATTTTAAAGTGCATGCATCATCTTAGGCTCATAAGTCTTTATTAGTGCATTTTAAGACTTGTCTTAGTCAATTCAAACTTGAAAGTAATGTCATTCACGCTTGATTGGATCATAGAAGTTGAACTTTTGATTGCATGATGTTTCACACCTGAATTAGAATGGTTCCACACGTGATTTGTCATTATAGACACATTAGATGACATTTCACGCTTGAATCAAAAGCGATCCACGCGTGTTTTGTCACCTTTGTTTATGTGATGCCTTGATGAAGCTTTTATGCTCCAATTCATGCTCGAAACATCTTTGAATTGACGCTTGAATTGTCATATTGTGTTCTATTTTATTTTGTGCTATGACATTTCATGCCTAGAAGAAAAAGCTTTCACTCCTGTTTTGTCACTTAATCTCTTGAACACATTTTGCCTAAGTGAGCTTAAGCCAATTCAAGCCTAGTTTGTATTGTGCACTTGTGTGATTTGTCACTTATAGAAACTAAGTCTTTTATACATAAAATTCACTTTTGAATACATATTGGTTCCACACGTAATCTGTCTAACAAAATGGCTTAGTTTTGTAACTAGTCATTTCGTGCATGAGAGGTAGAGTGTTCCATACGTGATTTATCTTCTAGAATGGCTTGAGTTTTGTAACCAGCCATTTCATACATGATAGTTATTTGTTCCACACGTGATCTGTCACCCAAATTGACTTTGGCATTCTCCTAGCCAATTCATGCATGAAAGTCATAGGGAACCGCACCTATTTTGTCACACAAAATGTTATGCATTCGTTTGCCTTCCAAAACACACGTAAGTGACCCTATTGTTCATGCTTGAATTGTCATATATACTTGACTGAAACTTGACTAGCTCTATTTCACATGTGAATCTTCTGATTGCACACAAGAAATGTCACCAACACTACATTCACTGTTCCAATGGTCTGTACACTGTAAAACTATATATATGACACAATTTAAGTCTAGAATAAGTTTTCTAATCATTGAGTGAACCATCCCACATTTGAACATTCTTGAAAACATTCAATTTGTGCATCAAAATATCTTGCATTGATTCATTTATCATTCTTAATAAATTTTAAGAAAAAGTCGTTATTAGTTCTTAAGCTTTCATTATACTCAATCTACTCTTTGCAAAGAGTATATCTTTGAGAGAATTTTTCTTGGAAACAAAGTTGAAATCTTGAAAAAATATTTTCCAAATAAATTGTGACAACTTGTTAGTTGTAGCAAAGTTGGTCATTTTGAAATAAAACTAGTCAAATCTTATGAGTTGCACTGAGGTTGCATACACCCACTTAAACTTGTGATTATAGTTAAAAATTTCAAAAATAATCTTGAGAACTGAACGTTTGTCAAGTTTTAGACTGAACCCGAATAAATCTTTGGTATCAAATCTTTTACTTCTTACATTTTTTTTCCATTTGTCATACTTTTCCAAAAAAAAATTGTCACCTAATTCTTCCCCCTCTTAAATGCCAACCTTATTCAATAGCTTTGTGTGTGCAGTAATGGAGGGCTTGAAGATTGAAGAACTAGAATGGCGGAGATTCTAGGTGCGCCATAAGAACGAAAGGAATTGGGTTATTATTAGGACTTAGAAGAAGCAGCTTGTCGCCAGATGTTCAAAATTTACTGGTTATAGAAAAGGGTAAGGGAATTTAAAACCTTAGTATAGAATAGTAATGACCTAACTGCATAATATAAATTTAATATAGTAAAACATATAAATTTTAAAAACCACTTAAGCTAGGCCTGCAGGCTTACATGCCAAACTTCTAAATATCATGCCAAGTTTGGTCCTAAGTTGCCTGAAAGAAGCCTGACCTACCTTCATTCCTAATCCAAATTAATATAAAAATATAAAAGAGAAAATCAATGACAAGCTTATTTTAAAAAATATTCGAATCTAAATTTATACATGTTTACATCTACATTTCACTCGCTACATTTTCCGTGTTCGTCACAGCTTTAAACTACAATAATCTTATCACGTGAAAAAATGTCGTCTTAAAAGATATAATTGCTAACCACGGATGGACCATTTTTGAAATTATTCCGGACAGAAAAAAATAGAGTGAAACTGAAAGAACAGGGATCAAAAGAAGTCAAAAAAAAAAAAATAATGAGTCAAGGGACCAGAATAACATTTGACCTTGCTAATATTAAAACTACAACTTACACGGCACCTAGAATTGTATGGGATAAAATCTACACATGAATTCAACATTTTCCAGTCACATTGTTAAAACACTATCTTTATCCATTCATGAGAGGCCATTTCAACTTCATGAAAATTAGTCAAATCTATATATTTGGCAGATGGAAAATAAAATGGTTATGGTCCTCCAAGAACAGCATTCTCTATGTCCTCTCTGCTTAAAGCATAACTGAATCTTCTTTCCACATCCTTTTCAAGATTTCCTGGTCCACTCTTCAAGTACCTGCACCATATTCAAATCTTTACCGTAGAACAGGACCACACCACTACTCTCTGCTTATGACTTTCATATTTTTTTTTTTTAAATCACTATTTACACAGAACTCTATCTCGTGTAGCACCTAAGAGAAGACCAGAAGGCTTTTGAAGGCAAAAGCTACGTAATGATCAGTAGCATAAAAATTGTAATCAGTAAGTCATAGCTTCCACATTGAAAAATCAGACTATCACAGAAAGTTAACCACCAACAATGCCAGCCAATGTCACCTGTAACTGTCAGCCAATCACAGTATAGTTTATCCCTCTTCCCTTGTTCGGTATCTATATCTTTTCAGCTTTATAGAAAAATCTACAGATCAAAATTCAGAAGATGCATACAATTAAATCTTCTAGAAGAGTCAAACCACAAATTTCAAAAAAATCGTGGAGAGCTCGGTAATGTTCTTTCTCCATTTCCGGATTGGTATTTTTAGAAACCCAATAATTTTCCATTTCAACTGCTCTCTATGCAAACATAATGTCAAAGATCATTTCAACTTCGTAATTGCGCATCTTCTTGACTGCTCAAAGACACCTGAATAGGTTTTGTAACAATCTTTAGCATTCACAAGATCTGTTTGCAAACATGGTAACTGTAGCATCTTAAATCCGATTTTAAGGCCTAAGAAGCATTTGAGGTGAATTGGGATCATAGTTCAAGCGGGTAGAAATTAGGAAAATAGGTCAAAAATATCACTGGGCTGGATAGGATGCACCCTAGGGCTAGACAGAATGGCCCAAGGATGGAAAAGATGGCGTCGAGATAGACAGAACGGGAGGGTGCCCCCTCTCTCCACATTCGACGCTGGAAGTGACACCCATAAATGCCAAACGTGGCTTTTGTCTACAATTTTAAATCGCAACGAGAAGCAGATGCAAGGGAAAAGGAAAGAAAAATTGAGGGAGGGCCATTTTGGCTCTACTAGGGTTCCATAGTTTGACTCTCTAAGGTTAATTTGAAGCTACAAACCTATTGGTCTGATTTTAACTCACTCTCCCTGTCTTCTAACTCATTTTCTAGAATTTAACTAGTTGAAATTTTGGGATATTGAGGATTTCAAACCCTATTTTCTATCAATTAAAATGGTTTAGATAGAGTTAATGGAGGTTTATTTGAGTTTTAATCAAAGTACATTGGTTGTTTGTTGTAAATTTGAGGTTTTAGGGTTCAAGTTTTGTTGGAAATTTGGGTTTATGAATAGATATGATGATTACACTGGTTAAAACTTGTTTTAATCGTTTGGTTATCTTTATTTAAGATTATATTGAGGATTAATCAGTTTAATTTGTTGATTGAAGTTTAAATTCACAAATTAGACATTTTGGATGGAGCCCCTTAAGCATAGAAATTGGAGAATTTGATTGATTTGACGTTGTAGATGTTAATGGGGGATTCTAATAGCTTATTTTTTATTTAAGAATGATTAGGTTTGTGTTGGATGGAAGGAATGGGAGTGTAGAAGAGATTTGAGAATTTTATTGCATAATTGTATAATCATTTGTTAAACATTAGTACTAATATTAAATTGTAACAACTATTGTAGATTGATATTTGTCCGGGAGTTGACAATTGGAAGTTTCTCTCAAATTGCTAATTTTGGCAAAGGCAAGAGGTAACCTCAGTTAATTTATTTTCTATACTAGGATTGGAAGATGATTTACATTATAAATATGTGCAAAAATTATATCTTTGGTACTGTAGTAACTAGTTGATATTATAAGAATTATTAATCATGTTTTTTGTTGTTTTTATAAAATCCAGGTAAAATGGGATGAAGTTTACATTATGTGGAATTAATGGTCTGAAAATGATTTATGGATTTGTGATATAAGCGCGAATTGGGTATTATTGTTGCATGTACTGGAATGGGCTGAATTGTTATAGATGAGAAATTGTAGATATGTTGAGAAATTTAAATACCCTGGTATTGTTACTACTTCAGATCTCAGTGGCTAGCTCTCATTAGGACCCTTGATATTATTCAATCTTTGGCTAAGATTGGGTAAGCCCGTAGGGCTTACTATAACACCTTTCTAGCCTAGGGTGTATGAAAGGAAACTTATGGTCTGGTTGTAAGCTCTATAACCATTGGTTGGGTTACATCTCACCATTGGAAAAGAATAGGATGCTACATAGCCTTTGGTTGTAAGCTCTGTAGTACTGGGAAAGGATGCTCCGGTAGGCTATACATTAGCCCCTGTAATCGAGTGCCCTTTGATGACATTGAAGGCCTGGCTGGGAAGGAGGTTGAGGAAGAGTCTGATGAAGATGTCGATGACATACTACTTGGCTCCAAAACCTTTTATAATTAAAACTGATCAAAGGCTCTAAAGCACTTGTTAGAACAATGAATTATTTTATTGCTCCTGAACGCAAGAGCCGGCTAACCAAACTTCTGGGTTATAAATTTGATATTCAATACAAGCCAAGAAAGGGGAATAGGGTTGCGTGCTGCTAATTCCCTTTCATGACGAGACGACCCTAAAATTGCATTGAATGTATTTTCCCTATGGCAATGCTCTGATATAGAAGAGTTCCAGGCTGAGGTAGCTAAGGATGAGAAGTTGAATGACATATTGCAGCAAGTACTACTGTAAAAGGATGCTCCAGTAGGCTATACACTTAAAAGCGGCTGTTTAATGTATCCAGACATATTAGTTCAACATTCTCCAAAAACCACTGCACTGATTGATGAATTCCATAATTCTCCTTTGGGTGGTCATTCAGGGTATTTGCATACTTATAAAAATCTCTCTGAAGTAGCATATTGGGAAGGTCTGAAGAGGGATGTTCAAGAGCCAGTAGCTAAATGTGAGATCAGCCAACAGAATAATATGAAGCCCTCAGGCCAGCTGCAATACTGCAGCCACTCCCCATTCCTTCCCAAGTGTGGAAGGACATTAGCATGGACTTTGTGATGGACTTAAGTCACAAAATACGACAGTGATTGTTGTGGGGGATTGTTTAACAAAGCATGCTCACTGTATGCCTTGTCTCATCCTTTCACTGCTAAGGAAGTTGCTGACATCTTTAAGAAGAAAGTGATGAAGCTACACGGATTCCCCAAATCCATTGTTTTGAACAGGGATCAGACATTCATAAGTCAACTTTGAAGAGAAATGTTCACTTAGGGACAACATTGAAATACGGCTCTTGGTACCTCCCTCAAACCAACGAGCAAACTGAGGTTGACAATCAAAGCCTGGAAACTTATCTATGCTACTTTGCTGGAGAACGTCCAAAGACATGCGTTAAAATGTTATCTTGGACTGAATTCTAGTTCAATACTTCATACAACCGATCTATAGGCACCACCCCCTTCAAAGTTTTATGTGGCAGGAAATCACCCACTGTTTTCGAATGGCAGGATGATTATTCAATGTTGGAAGAACCTAGGGAACAGATTAAAGAAAGAAATGAAATGTTGCACATCCTTAAGTCCCATCTTGAGGAAACACAAGCAAAAATGCAAGAACAAGCCAATAAAAAGATGAGGGTCGTTGACTTTGCAGTGGGAGACAAGGTCCACTAACACATTCAGCCTTATCAACTGAAAAATTTGGCCAAGTGTCAGCATGAAAAGTTAGCACCAAAGCCTCATAATCAGCGAACAGAAAGGTAACTAGAATAAAAGGTAGACAGAAGTCATCAGACGAGTACTATAACCAAAATCAAGGAACTAAGGTTTCTTCAAGTCTCATTGCCATCACAAGCACTAAGCAGGCACCACCTATACTGGTTGTTCTTCATCGGAATTATTTTGATAGTTATATCCAGTCTTACTTTTCTTGTCTGAGGTTCAGGCAGTGTTCTGCTAATTTGATTAAGCACATCCATATAATACTCCCTCTTGTGTGAGATTAGTTCACTGATTTATTATTTGATATGGGACATCAGATACAAATGACGGGCATGCATTAGCAAGGTTTTTCTACAAGCAGTTAAACAAAAACTAAATACAAAGCACATTCTACTCTTAAATCTTAATCATATTTAACAATGGAAAATATCCATCATAACTTCAATTGAATCAGAATTTTTGCTTTGCAAAACCAACACGAAGTTAGTTTATCCACAAAATTTGAGGTAGGACACCCGACTTTGACAATCAATACAATCATTTCGAACTACACAAATGGCACACGAGTATAACACCAGAAAAATATACCTCTTTATAATTTAATCCGCGTATTAATTCCACTGTACAATTAATCATTCAAAATTCAACAATTTGTAACTAGCCATGCAATATTGAGTTAATCACCAGTAAATAATATAATCCAGTAGTCATTAGTGCATTCATCCAATGATTGAAGTCATTCAATTGTATTTAACAAAAGAAACATACCTTATATAGAGGTCAGTGATGTCGAGCGAGAGTTGGGCGTGCCAATCTGGCTTCTGAATAAACCAAATAGCCCTATCGTCGCTGCTTTGACAGAACCCTAGATTCCTCAACCAAGCCTCAATGCAAAGCAAGCTGTGGGAGTAAAGGGGCTTCTTCTTATCGGGAAGCTTCTGGAGCCATTCGTCTTCCGGTGAGGACAGCTCTTCTGCTTCAAAGGATTTACAACAAAGATGGGTAAGAGATTTTCTTGAAGAAATTGAGAGAATTGATGAAGAGGAAGGGAATTTAGGGTAATGTGAAGAAGGATGCAATAATAACTGAGATTCAGAGGAAGTAGAGGAAAAAAAAGGGATTGGAGAAAGTGAAGAAGGGTGAAAGATATTGGAATTGGAGTTGACCAATGAGAAAGCAGAAATGGTGGACATGCTTTTCTATAGAAAGTAGAATAGTAGAATTGGAGTTGATGAATGAGAAAGTAGAAAGGGAAGTTAGTTCGGAAGGAAAATTTGGAAGGAGGAAGATTGAAACAAAGGAAAGCGCATAACGCATTCATTATCTTCTCTATTTGAGCCAAGTCCGACATGTCGATTCGAACCCACCTAAATAATTTAAACCCAAATTTAAAAAATAATATTTTTTTATTATTTGGGCCGCCTGAATAGGCCCAAAAAAATTTAGGCCAAGCCCGATCGGATTCGAGTTTGGCCCGAATACCCGAATAGAAAAAAATAATTTTTTAAAAAAATATATAATATAATAAATATTAATTATTTTTCAAGTTTTATATTATTTTATTTTAAAATACCATATATTTGAATGTATTACTATAGTTATTTTAAAAAAATAAAAATATTTATATTTTTTCATTTTATTATTTTTAATCAAATAAAATATCTCAAAATAATAATTAAAATATATTTTAATATTAATTTTTATATTTTAAGACTCATTTTTTTTAAAAAATTGAGTCATATAAATCATTTTCTTGTCCAGAAAATTATATTTTATATTTTTTATAAAATAAGATAATTAATTTTAAATTAAAAATAATTTTAAAAATAAAATTTGGACATGTATGAATTTTCGGCTCTACTACTAAACAAACATAATAAATAAAATAATATTTTTAAATAATTATTTAATTATTATCCATGCTAGACTTAGTTAAAAATTAAGAATGAACTAAAGTAAATACTTTTTGTATATAGGACTTAAACAATATAAAAGATTTAAAAAATTTAAAAAAAAGTATTTTACCCATAATTAAATAATTTTATTTTATATAATATAATGACGACTATTTTTTTCATATTCTTAAAAATAAAAAGTACAGTTTATCTAATAGTTATTAAAAACTTTAAACTAACTAGGACAATAATTTTAAATTAATGGTTTAATTGTAGTTGAATTGAGATTAACTTGATCATAATTAAAATAATATAATTCAATTAAAATATATAAATATTTTTATATAACTATGATAAGAGCAATATTTAAATAAATATGACATTAATTTATAAGTAAAAGAAACATTTATTAATAAATTGCACATAATACAACAAAACAGTAACACTACTTAAATACTTAACTATAAAGTTAATAAGTTATTATTTTTTATTCATTTTAAGTTAAAATAGTATGTTATGCTTAATAAAATTATTTAAAAATTAAAATTGATTAAAAATAAAAAAATATTTTTTAAAAAGTTTTGGATATTCGGGCCGGCCCGAATAAGCCCGAAGCCCGAAAGCGTTATATAGCTTTTTAGAAAGAGTAAGATTCTTTTAAACCCGACCCGAATAAGCCCGGCCCGAATTGAGCCCGGCACGAATAAGCTCGGCCCGCCCGAATTACCGGCTCTAATCTTCTCCATGGTGTGAGGTAATTTCACTATTTTGGTCCAAAACAAAATAAAAATAATTTTAAAAGTTATTTTGGAAAAAAAATTGATTTAATATCATGTTTACATTTTTATTAAATTTTTTATTTTTTATGAAAACTATATATATATATATAAATTATTTAGAAGGCATATGCTAATTTTATAAATTTTGAGTTATAAAAATCATTTATTATGTAATTAATTCTAAAGTTATATAATCTTTGAATAAAAATGTAAGAGTTTTTAATTTCATATTTTCCTAAAAAATTCAATGATTTTAATTTTTAGGGATTAATAAAATTTGACAGGTCAAATTAAATGGGCTAGGTTAAAATAAAATAAACTTTAAAGATTTAATTTAAAATTTAAAGAAGATTATAAAGACTTGCACATATTTATTTCTTTTACAAGTTGGGAATGAATTTTGCTGAATCATAATTAATGCTAAGTTTATAACCTTTGTAACTTATTTTTGTATGCTTAAATCATTAAATTGGCAAGTTTATGACTACTTGAGTTAACAGCCATGTTTATGAGTGTTTTAAACAATGAAAAATTATACACAAATCCCTCACAAGTACATTTAAATACTACAATGTTAATTGACAATTTAGTTAAAAAATGACAATTAAAAACTATTGGCAACTAAGCATAACAAAATTATAACTTTTTTAATTGTGTTTTCTTAAAATTGCCAATGAGAACTGTGGTATTTAAATGTATTTTGAAGGATCTCAAAATAATTCTCCCTTTAAACTATCAAAAGGGAAACTAATTAAAATTATGAGAACTAAATTAAAAATAAGCACAAATTATAGAGTAAATAATTAAATATTTTGTAAATAAGAAGATACTTTATCCATTTTTTAAAATTATTATAGATATTATAATAAGCAAATTTTAATCAAAGTTGGGAAACAGGCCATGCCTTTATAGGCGTGGCCCTTATAAACTTAAACCCGTAAGTTTGATTTTTTTAAAATTTGATCTTCTTTTTCTTTTCTTTTTTTTATTTTTTTTTTTTTGCCCGATCTGGTGTTAGGCTCTTTTTTTTTTTTTGGACCAAACCAGTACTAGGCTCGTAAACCATTTGCTTAAAAAAATAATTTTTCAAAAAGGTAAAGTTCAACATTATGACATTATAAATTAATTGAAATCTTATAAAAAATAAAAATAAATAAAATAAATTTAGATCTTCAATTATATCATAATAATAAGTCAAGCTTTTACTTAGTAGTCACTTTAGATATATATATATATATATATATATAAATTGTATATAGATAGAATGAGAGAAAAGAATTAATTCCAAATCATCAAGACAGTCTTATATATAACAAAAAATAATATTTCATCATAGAACCCACTAGCACAGCCAATATCCTCATAATAGTTTAAATTTAAATTGGAAGTTGGAGGAATCAAATATTTCACACCTAAACTTACTTAACAAATCAAAAAACTAAACCAATAATTGTTTCACAATACCACAAAAACATTTTAAATAATAAAATCACTAAGAAAACAAAACGGAGATGGAATTAATGGCTGTAAACCTTATTTTAATTCATAAACAAACATGAAAAATAAAGTACAAGACATTAACGTTTTTTTTTACTTTTAATGTAAATTCTTTTTAAAAAAAAACTTGGAGAGCTGCTTGTGCTTGAGCCCATTTTTATAGGGCTTAACAATATAGGGCTTAAAAGCTCAATTACACAAAAAAAAGTATAATTTTTTTAAGCTTGAATTCTTATAAACTGTCAAGCCGCACCCATATTTTGGATATTATTTTAATGTTCAAAATGAACTACAAAATATAAATGGGATTGGGAGTATAAACTGGGTCGGATAAACCAACGCCAACCAAAGCAGCTACCCAGCCAACGAAAATCCATATGAGGGCTTTAATAGTAAGCCCAAACAATGTGCAACGTAGGCGTTATTTTAAGGGAAAAAATTACTGAAAAATATAATCACCTAACCTAAAAAATTACTTTCTTTGTTTATAATCGCCTAACTCAAAAAAAAACTAAAAAAAATTAGTAAAATCAACGTACAATGTGCAATATGCACTAAAATATATATTTCTGAATATAAGGGATCTGAATTATTAACCACCCAACCCCAAAAATTTAAATTATTTCTTTAAAGACGCTTTGGTGATATATTTATTTGTGGGTGTGTTAAAATCTGTATATATTACAAAATATACAAAAAGTCACATTACTTATAAGCTATGAATAGTATATTTTACTTGAAAATTCACAACTTACTCTAAACTATTTTTAACCTTCTTACCCTAAACTCTGCGAAATCAAAATGTAATAAAGAGGCATAGAGTACAATATCAATTTCTTCTACGAAATGTAACAAATTGAGAATATTTTAAAGAGTATTAAATTATATACTATTTTATGACCAAATAAAAACTTACTATTTTTAATTTTATTATGGAGACTTGTAAGAACATCTAAAGAGAAAGAAAGACCAGAGAAATTGAGATAAAATTAAATACTTTATGATGTAAAATCTTCAAATAAATCGTTCGATCCCTTTAGAATTTTGAGAAACTCTTGTATGAATTCAATTCAACTTATCATTTTTATTCTATTTAATAAAAGCATGCCATATTAAATAACCGAGTCCTAGCTCCATCATCATGATTATAAATATGTCATTGTGATTATGCAAAGAGAAAATACAAGAAATTAAGGAGGTAATTCATTCCAAAAATAAAATCATTAAAATAATTATACATTAAATTTTATTTAATTGAATTGATGTAATATCATATGTTTTTATTGGATAAAACTATAACTGGATCCATGCAAAAAATTTTCTACAATTTCTCCTTCAAAACGTTCCAAGAATACCTCAAAGTTTTTTGTTTTTTTTTTTTGGTTTTACCTCCTAGAATGTGATATTTATTTTGGTCCTCCTAATTTCATCAAAAAGGACTTAAAGAGACTTTTTTTCTTCAAAAAGTACTCCAAAGACCGTTTCCTAGTCCAAGATGTATATCTACGGCCACTTCACGGGGAAAAAAAAAAAAACCAAACCTTTTCCTAGTCCAAGATGTATATCTACGGCCACTTCACTAAAAAAAAAACGAGAAAATATAGCTTTTTTGTTTCAAATACGCCCAAAAGTCCAATGTTTTCTGCAAATAAATATCAATGAGGGAAATATATAAAATTTATTGAATATCCATATAATATTTTTATATATATTAGTTATCTTAGCAAAACTATATCCATTTTAGTGTATTAAAAAAAACTTAACGATTTTTTTCTTTTTTTTTTCCTTTCTTTCTTTACATTTTTTTTTGATAAAATATTCTTATAGATCGGTAAGAAGGAAAAGCAAAAAATTAACATGATTCTGCAAAAGGCCCAATATTGTACCCCCAAAAAACAATCTTCTTATTACTCCCAAAAGAAAAAAAAAACAAAAGAAAGGAGAAGCAGCTTATCGGACATGGCTTCTGGTTCAATAGATTAACATGATTCTGCAGATTGAAGATGAGACCAATATTCCTTCACAAGCTGCCCAAACAAAGAGTCTTCCCTCTTCATTAACTTCATTGGCTCATCATATTCCACCAACTTTCCTGGAAAATACAAATTTCATTCATGTTCAATTGTCAGTACACCCAACAAGAATCTCTTCCTGAACAAAACCCTCTCAATTTCCTTTTTTTTTTGTATGAATAAGACCAATTCATGTATTAGCATGAAAAGTAAGTGTTAAGTTGTCTAAGTGTAAATAGATTCGATAGGATAAAAGAGTGCCTTAAGATTCTGAATTAAACTGTGGTGTCTTTTTGCTCAAACAGTCGCTTGTCATTCCTGACAAGTTTATAGTTCATTCCTCTTTATTTTATATTAATTATATTAATTATAAAGCTTAACTTCATTTCATATTTGAAACTTGTTACATCAATTCAAATCTACTCACACGAATATCCTAACACAAGAGTCTTGAGTTTAAGAGAGAGCATGTGTGTGTAGAGAGCTAATATATGCTTACCATCACTAATGGATAGAACTTTAGTGCAATCCATCACTGTTGGAATCCTGTGAGCTACAGTGATGACAGTGCAATCTGCAAACTCACTCCTTATAGTTTTTTGCAAAATCAAATCAGTAGCGTTATCAATTGATGCAGTCGCTTCGTCAAGCACCAAAATCCGACTTCTCCTAAGAATTGCACGTCCCAAACAGAAAAGCTGCCTCTGTCCCATGCTCCAGTTTGATCCATCTTCCACAACTGCACAACAAAGTTCATCAATCCAAAGAGAAAAAAACAATGCACTCTTCATTATTGCAACAATAAAAAGTTGGTGGTTCACCTGAAGAGTCTAAGCCACCTTTTTTCTCTTGAACTGCCTCTCGCAATTGACACTTTCCAAGAACCTTTGAAGGGAATCAATGTATCATCATTAGAGTTTTCATGATATTGATAGAGAAAGCTATTACAATACACTGTTAAATGGGATTTATTCGATCGAGATTTGTACATATTCCTGCTTTAATCAAGAAATATTTTGTATTCATTTGTTATTATTATGATGGTAACAGTCTTTTGTGTGTGTGTGTGTCTATTGTAAGCTTTACAGATCAATAGAGTACGGCACTTTTTTAACTCTCCTTACTCTTCTGACTACTTTCAAAATATTAAAGTGATTTTGTAAATTTCAAGATAAAGGTACCCTAACATTCTTTAGTGAAAGCCACATTTTGACCAAAATCAACTGATTTCCAAACACACACAGAGATCATTAAACTAGACTTGCTCTAGCTATTGCATCAATCACATGAAGAAAAAAAAATGGGAAGAAGAAGAAGGCATTAGGATTACCTCCCATATCTCTTGATCAGAATGCTGAGACAAAGGGTCCAAGTTATATCTAACTGTGCCATTAAAAAGTGTGGGATCTTGTGGTATGACACCAAAACGTGATCTTAAATCATGGAGTCCAATAGAATAGATATTTATGTTGTCAACAATAATCTTTCCGCCAGCTGGCTCCACAAGACGAAACAAAGCACCAATGAGAGTGGACTTTCCACTACCAGTCCTGCCAACAATGCCAATCTTGTGTCCTCCTTCAAATGTGCATGTGATCCCTCGGAGTACAAGAGGTGCATCATGCCTATATCTTATCTATTTCAATACAAACAAGCAAATTTTGTATCTTTAGATCAATTCTCATTTTCCTAAACCATGTTTTTCAAAAGGAAAACACAACTATTGATCCTTATAGTTTTAACATGTTTTGGTATAAGTTTTTATAGTTTTTTTTATAGTTTTTTTGTTGCTTTAGCTTCCTCTAGCTTATCCTGTCTACAACATTAGTCCCTTTACTTTTTAATATATGCCTAAAAGAATGATGAAAGGCACTAACAATGTTAAATTTGCTAACCTATGATTAATGTTGTTAATCTTTGTGCTGAGGTGGAAACAGAATGAGGTGGACAACACTGTTAATTGTTAAAGCAAAATTCCACCTTAGCACCAATTAATAGCATTAATCATAGATTAACATATTAATACCGTTAATTCCATCTCATTGTCCTTTTAGGTATATTCAAAAATAGAGGGATTAGTGTTGCAGACAAGGATGAACAAGAGGAATCTAAAACAATTTAAAAAAAAATATTATAAGAACCTATACCAAAATATGTTAAAATGAGACAAATAGGTTATGTCTTCCCTTATTCAAAATACAAAATTCACCTGCAAATTATCTATTTCTACTTTTCCCACTGTTGGCCAATTCACTGGAGGGCGATTTCCTTCAATGACTTCTGGAGCTTCACTTGGTACATGCATGTATTGATTCAACCTCTCTACTGATATTATATAGTTTGCTATGGTGCACTGGTTTTGAATTGAGAATACGAGGGATGCATTTAATGAAAGGCCATAAGAAATGGCCATGCCAATAAATCCTGGAACAACAAATTTTACATGTGAATATTAAGATGTAAGGTCAACCAAGAAGGAAATATGATGGGTACCTACGCGGGATGGGAAACACTCCCCTAAAAGCTAGTTGTTGAGTTGAGAGAACCAACCCATATAAATATTCCATTGAACATCTAATACTACTCAATGTGAGACTTGGTATCTTATATTACCATGGTATCTTATATTGCCAAGTCTCTATCAAAATATTTTATAGGCCCTAGAGAAAAAGGACTTACCAGAGGAGAAAGTCCCAAATGGAAGTACTACCATGCATAGTGCAGCTGAGAAAAGAACAACTGCACTAACTGTTTCTAAACGTTGAATCAACCACTCATTTGCTGCAAAATTATGGAAGAAAGGAGAGGCATTGACATCGATTAAATCAAGATTCTTTGCAAAGAAGCGATCTTCCTCCTCAAAAGCCCTTATTGTCATAGCACCAGCAACAGATTCTGATAGATGATTAGCTATATAGGATTTTGTTGTGCCATTCAATCGCATCAACTCTTTTGCAGAGGCAAAGTAGTATCTCTATTGAAACATAGCATTTTTACGTAAGAATTTACCCTTTAAAAAAAACTTACAGCCAGCATACTATTGGTTGTCATATGAACAACATCTATTTTTAAAGTTGACAAGGTTTGGCAAATAAAATCAGGATTAACACAATAACCTCTAAATGATTTGACAAATAGATGTTCAAATTTTGAATACTAGGTATTCCTAAGTCAATTACTTGAGTGATTTGACTGTTTAAAAACATCCTAAGATTTTCTTTTGGGTCATTACTATTGGAGAAATAATAGATGGTTTTAGATAGAGTATGCAGCCAACCCACTTAGCTAAACAAAGCTTTTGTTGTTGTTTTTGTACTACTAGAGAACAATCTTTTTGTTTTGGTATTTCATTCCAGACAACCCATCACTTCCATAAATATTTACTAAACAAGCAAGTGATATTACCCTCACTATATTAAAAACTTTGAAGTTCTTGGTATGAATTTCAAGTTTTTTATTGACAATAATTTATGAAAAGTTAATTATATTTATGTAGACTTTATTCATCTGCCAAATATAAGCATTTTAAAATGCAATATGATGAAATTAAAATATTAAGAAGAATAGGTATGTATTACCTGTAGACGAATTGCAATATAAATCATTGGTATAGAGACAAACAAGACTTGCCAAGTAACAACTGCTAAAACAGTAAGATTAGCATAACAATTTGTAGTGGCTCCAACTGCAAACATAAGGCTGAAGGGGACATCGTAATCAATAATGCTCAAATCTGAAGAGACCTATGTAATGAAGTCATACTTAAATCAAAATTACTTTCATCATTCACATTTCATTGCAACAAGTGAAATTATTTGATATTATTAGATAAGCTTACCCTACTAAGTATCCTTCCCAAAGGCGTGGAATCATAGAACGACATAGGCGCACGAAAAAGAGAGTTCAGTAGTTGTGAAAACAAAGACTTTGATGATTGAATGCCCAATGCAACCATTCCCATACTTCTGATTAGCAAGAAAGCAGTTGAAACAACTCCGATCAACAAGTACACCAAGATCAATCTTAATGTGCTAACATGTGGATTGTCAACATTAGCAGCCATCCATGAGTTCTGTAGTACTTGACCAATCACAAATGCAAGGTGCATAAGTGAAGCAATACAAAAGTACAAATAGCCCTTGTTTTGATTCATATACTGCAAGTAAGGCTTTAATCCCGAGTCTCCGATTTCTCTCTCTTCTTGCTTGATTAATTGATCAACTTTTGAATCATTAAGCTGCTGCTCTGAAAATGACTTGTTAATCTCCTTGGTAGGATTTACATGAGTGTGAGAAAAAGTCACATCAGGCAGCCTCTCAGATCCAGCAGTCTCCTTATGAGCATTGACGAGGTCTTGGAATTCTTGGCTTGAGGATAGAAGATGCTGATAAGGAGCAGCTTCTTGAATCACCCCATCACACATTAGCTATTGTAAACAAAGAAACACACCATTACTATTATGAAAATAATGTGACTAACAATGGGTAAACTTTGTTTGGTTAAATTCACATGATAAAGCCTACATAGATACCTAAGCAAGCAAGAAGTAGTCTACCTTACAAGCCAAATTGAAAGGAGGAAAAACTAAAATGCTTTATTACCAAAAAAATTACTTGTAACTTCTCAATGTGAGACTTCAACACCAAAGATTTGACAAATATACCATGTAGATAAACTAACTATGTTAGCAACAATATTAACTCGATACCCCTTAAGTCGAAGATCAAGCCTTATACATGGGGGAAAAAACCACATTCAATGAGCTACCCTATATGGCCCAACAATGCTTGACTACCAAAAAAAAAATAATATTTGTGTCATCTAAATGTAATGCTTTCTTGATATAAATGTTAAGGTTGATGAAACAACTAAAGAAGATTCAAAGAAGAGACTTGTTAAACAACTAAATTTTTTTGATATGGCTGATAAAATATACTTGGCTTTCATATTTATTGTTAAAATAACTTTTACCTTGATTTTCTCAAAAAAAAATTATGACAAAAAAGATCTATCGAACCAATAAATTAGACGATGTAATAATCTATCATCTATCAATATATTAATATAACAACAACAAGCCTTATCCTACTAGATGTGATCATCTACATGATCTATTGAACAAAGGAGGGTCTACTTTCAGGTGTAAGTAGAGTTTCCTGTATCACCCCCTACCCACTACGTATATCATTCTGGATCAGTCCTTGAATAATTATACAGTTGCTCAGCAATGACATGGATGACCAAAGATCACAGAAGTTATAAATTTTAAGTCATTATTAGTAACATTGTCATGAACAATGCCTTAAGCAAAGGGAAATTACCAAAATAGAATCAAATGCTGGAAGGAAGTCAACTTGATGAGTAACAAGCATGACTGTCTTTTCTCTAAGTGCTTCCATGACATATTCCTGCCAAGTTAAAAGCCATTTGTGAGTAAAAGAATATCACAGAAGACACAAATGTAGTACGTAAAGAAAGGACAATATGATTACATTAAACAAATTTGTGGCTGTATGCGCATCAACAGCACTAAAAGGATCATCCAACAGATATATATCAGCATTCTGATAAAGAGCACGTGCGAGTTGAATTCGTTGTTTTTGGCCTCCACTAAGGTTCACCCCTCTTTCCCCAATTTCTGTGAGATCACCATAGGGAAACAATTGAAGATCCTTCACTAAAGATGACCTTTCAAGTGTTTCTTGGTACCTTTGAGGATCCATGGCTGATCCAAACAGTATATTTTCCCTTAATGTACCTGTTTGAATCCATGCTGTTTGAGAAACATAAGCAAACTTCCCATGAACTTCAATCTGTGAGTCAGAAATGACAATTAGATGTTATAAAAAATGAAATAACTACTTTAAAGAAGTGAAAATACAACCCAATATTTATAGGTGAAGGAAAAAAAACCAAAAGGCTTAGGAGTAAGAACTTACAGTTCCATGAGTAATGGGAACTTCTACAAGAATTGCAGCCAATAAGGTTGATTTGCCAGAGCCAACTTCTCCACAAATAGCCACCTTTTGCCTGGGTTTAACCTCTAGATTTATGTTTCTTAAAGTGGGCTTTGAATCATTATCTTCCCATGAAAAGTCAGCTGACTTGATGTAAATGGAACCATTAAGACTGCCACTTGAGCACTTCTTTCTAACACTTACACTCTGCAATTCTGGTGCCTCGAGGAATTTCACGATCCGAGCAAATGCTACTTTAGCTTGAATGACAACCCCAATAACATCTGGGATGGTTCTAATTGGATCTTGAACAAGGCGTAAAGTTGCCACAAAAGTGAAAACATTATTTGCATGTAAAGGAACTTTCAGGAAGTAACATGCCCCAAAAGAAGCAGCAGAGACCAAAACAGGTGAAGACCAAAAGAGAAAGGTATTGTATGCCCTTCTTAACTGCACAGAAGTTAACCACTTGAGCTCAACATTCCTCAATCTTACGATAGCATTCTTAAAATGGGTTTCCCATGCATAGAGTTTCAGTACTTTCATATTTATAAGAGCCTCAGAACTAGCCTTCAATCTCTCATCTTGTGCTACCATAAGTTTGGTTTGAAACTTATGTTGTAGCTTTGCTAGTGGAGTATTGCAAAGAACAGTGAGCACTATGACCACCAAGGAAGCAATAGTTGCTAGCCCCACAGCGTTAAAAAGAATTACTAGTGCAATACATAGTTGAACACTCGTTGTCCAAGTCTGGTGACACCAAAAAGGGAATTCCCCAATTCTATAAGCATCAACGGTTACATAATTCATAATCTCTCCACTTGAATGCATCAACTTTGAAGCATTAGATAGCTTCAATTGCTTTTTATAAATGGCTGCAGTAAGTAATGATCTAACTCGTAAACCAATTAATCTGCTTCGGAAGTACCACTGCCTTTGAGATATTGATTCCAAGATCTTTGTAAAGAAAAGTGTTATGGCCAATATGTAACCTTCATACTCGAAACTTTCTTTACCCTCAGCAACTAATATGAAGGAATTTAGAAGTAGTGGACCAGCTGAAATAGTGAGTACTTTAAGCAATGCAAACAATCCAGATATCAAGATATCTTTCCAGAGGCAGAAAATTATTGTCCACAAGACAGATGGTTGTGTTGATGGTTCTTTCTGTTTTTGTTTATTCAATTGATCAAGAAACATCAAATAACAGCTTTTAGCTTGATCTTCCTCTCGCAATTTTGGGATATCTTCCTCTTGAATAGGTTTCTCCTTACCCCTTTTCATCAATGGATTCAACCACCAAAATGACCCTTTGCTAAAGAATCCAGCTTTTGCAAATGGGGTCACATAATTAGCAGAACTAGTTTTATCAATATCAGTAGACTCACCATTCAAAGGAGCATAAAGGCTTTCACTGATATTCTGATCATTGTATGCATGTCCCTTATATGAGCAGATGAGCAACAAAATTGCTCCTGGGAAAGATAAAACATCTAAAGCTACCTTAAGGGTCACTTCACTATCACTAATGACAAAAAAAATAGAGATAACACAAAAAATGCCAGAAACTAAGAAGATCAAAATAGACACTAATCTTGACCATGGTTTTTGAAGTTCCCTCAACTTGAGACTTACTGTCAAACCTACACACAACCATGTGATCCCTTGAGAAAAATATTGAATCCACCAATGGATAGGAAAAGCAGTGTGAGTTTTCCTCAATTTCTCCTCTAAAACCCAAACACCTAAGCACAAATGAACTAACCCAAGACTGCCGCTTACTATTGCAGAAGCTACCTGCAAATTTGAGAACCTTTTCGCTTGGATAGAACCATGAAATGTCTTTGTTGATGACTTGAGTATTACTGTGAATAAAAGCAAAATCAACAATAACACGTCAAGACAAATGATCATCAAATGGTTTAAGCATGTGGAAGGATCTTTCAGAAGCTCAAAATCATAACTACAATGTTTCTCCCCCATTTTTGAACAACTTGATTCTTCACAAAAGATTCTCCAAACATACTCCATCTTCTTCCTGAAATATAGAGGGGAGAAATTCTAGTGAAGAAAATAATAAAAATTAAAATGTTAATTGTTAGCTCACATGATGAAGCTTCCATAAGCAAAAACAACCAAAACAAAGTTATGAAAGGCTTTGAGTTTGTAAAAAATTAGCTAGGAATGAAATATCCAACAACATATGAAACTCATGTTTTGATATCTCTGCAAGCAGCATTCAAATACTTTTTAATGCACACAATCCAACCCAAGGGGGGGTGGGAAGGAAGGCTTAGCTATTCGCGCTGAAGAATCTAGTAGTAACCAAGTGCAATACCCTTTAACAATTAAAAACAGTGCGATGTTGCCTTTTCCATTAAAAAAAAGTTCACTTTACCTATTAATTGACTAAAAAAATTTACAAAAACTAACCTGAAAATTAAATAAATACCCTATAAGAATATTAATACTAATAAAGCCAAAAAAATTTCTTATATGGTCCTTTAATGTAATTTTTGAGACTTTTTTTTTTATAAAAAAATTTTTTGAATCGACTAACAGTCAAAATGTCCTTCAATGCAATTTGTTGAAGGGGACATTGCACCACAAAATAATTTAGAATACCAAATGCTTTTATGGCAATAGTCGAGGGAGGAAAATGCCCTCTAATGCAAAAAAGAATCACATAAACCAAAAATGATTTTCACCCAAAAGAGCCGGACCTCAAAGCATGAATGTAAGGTTGAATGTAAGGTTGGGTTTGTCTCCAACATGAATGCAAATTTAAAAGTGTAAACTTCTAGTCATAACCGACGTTAAAGAAAGAGTGTTCGCAGAGTTCAACAAATAGATTGCTTCAAATACATGCTATGTCAAAATTTGAAGCAATTAGATTTCGATATGACATGTCTTGCTAATGGATGACATATCCAACAAACCATGAACTCAACAAACAAAACTACCTATGGGCTAAACTTTAATCAGGAACGTGTACAAATGATGAGACTATCAAATTATATTCAAATTCAACTCTTGTGGATAAATTAAGAAAGGAAAATTTTATGATGTCACCATAATTAATATGATAATAATCATGTGGGATAATATTATCGCATTGATCATAATTTGGTGCCATTTCCAATTAGGTGATTAAACAATGTACAATCTTAGAATAGTTAAAAGTGTTGTAGCTAAGCTTTAATTAAACTAAAATCACACTAGACCACATGACATCCAAAATATGATTGTATAATGCTAATCACGTAATACATAAACAAGAAAGTGAGAATTAAATAATTAATTAATTATCGGTTACACAAAATGCCACTAATTAGCTAAAAGAAATTCTCCTTTTTAAATGTGTCAAAATAAGTGCCTAAATATTAATGACACCATATTTTTTTGTTGCCAAAAACTATTTTAAATCATCCAAAATGAATTCCCTAAAGTTTGGACAAGTTGAAAATTGCTAAATGGCCAATCACATATTTTTCTAAAATTTGAACAAGATATTAACCAATATCTGATATGTTTCAACATAGAAACTAATCAATTATATTGGCCCCAAGAAAAATGTCCTTGACAGTATAACATCATCAAAACTTAGGTAACGCCAGTCCAATGTCTCAAGATTAGGTCTCAAAAAATTTTGCTGAAACAGGTGAAAACCACAATTACCTCGGTGGTCCAGAGCTCCAAGACGAGAATCGTGCTAGCAAGAGGCCACGGGTTAATGTGAGAGAATATAGATCAGTATATTTTCACTTTAATTTATTAGGTAAAGGTGTATTTTTTAAATTAAATTATTTTATGAATAACACCCAATGTTTTAAACTATTTGTTATAAATAATTAAAACATAACAATGTTGTCCTTAATATTAAACATTCAAACATTGGCTATTAACTTTGTTGATAAAGAATTAAGTATGATTAAAAATGCCACTTGTTGTGTTAGGTGATGGAAATTTACTCAAGACATTCACATGGGAATGGAAATTTCACCCTGGCTAACCCTAATCGTACAAAGGTGAACAGTGATTTTTGCTCTCAGTGAAGCACTCAACGTCCTCCAAGGAGCTACCATTCTACAATGACAAAACTTTCGCTCACCCTCATATTCCACATCGCCACCTCTTTGCCTCAACAATGTCGCCATCCTTCTACTGTTTCTTGTCCGGGATGAAGAATGCTCGCCCTTCATATCGAGACAACTAACGATCATGCCACAGCAACTGGGCCCCATGAGGCCATAACTAACAGACATTTGTAGGTCTTTAATGTTTAAGGCAATATTACTCTATTTTAATTACTCTAAGAGCAACGTTATTGCAATAAAAAGTTTAAAATTCTGGTGCTTTTCGGAGAATAATTTAAAAATAAAAATGAACCTTTACCTACCTTTAATTTATTCAATGAATGTGGTCCAGAACATATAAAACCAAATGCCATTTTGTTTCAAACGCACAAAATAGAAGGCCCAGAATTTCAGCTTAACTATAAGGACAACACAACTGAAACAAAATGCATTTATTGCTTTGGGAAGCCACTTGCAAGCCAAACTCCACGAGAGGTCTAGGTATAAGGAAGACTGGAGTTTTATTCACCAACAGGCCAAATCAATTTGGACTCTTCATTTCAGAAGTCAGCCAGCTCGCGTTTTATTTCTTTGTATCCTTCCAGTTTTATCTTACATCTGAAAGGGATGTTGTCTGTTTATGTTTCAGGACCAAGAATTATATATATACTCTCCCTCAAGGACCAAAATGTAAGGCATTGATAACTAATTTATTGTTACCAAAAACTATTAATTGATATCTTAATTTCTTAAAATATTTTATATTTCTTCAATTATACTCCCATTAAATATCTTATATTAGAGTCTTGGTAATATTAATTAAAATTTCAATACATTATTTTTCTAAAAAAATAATAAATAAAATAGGGATATAATGAAAAAAATAATTATAAAATTACTTAACACCCTATATTTTGAATCAAACAAAATTTTTAAAAAATGTTTTTTAAGTGTGTATACCAAGCCCAAAAATGACCCTAATGGCACTATGAGTTTTGCTGTCTTGTCTCCTTTAAATAACACATTTGAATCATTCTTTTATTTGGGATCTTTTTGGAATTTGACAGTGCATTTATAGAGTAAAAAGGCTAGTGTGTGTGTGCGCGCCAAGCCCAAAAATGACCCTAATGGCACTATGAGTTTTGCTGTCTTGTCTCCTTTAAATAACACGTTTGAATCATTCTTTTATTTGGGATCTCTTTGGAATTGACAGTGCATTTATAGAGTTAGAAGGATATTGTATATCCATGCGTGTATCTCTTTGAATCATTCTTTATTTGGGATATTGTATCTTAAAAAAAGTAAAAATAAAAACATATTGATTGCACGTGTTTTTTACCTAATTTTTTCTCTACTTTCACTAAGTAGGAAAAAAATTATTTTCTTCCTACTTTTTTTGCTCACTTTTTCCTTTTTTTTTTCCTCCGGTCAAGCAAAACATAAACATGAAAAAATTTAAAAGAAAAGCTCAATTTTCAAATTTTCTTTCAAATCTCTTCATTTCCAATATATTAAAATATTAAATTTTATTATATATAAATATTTTCTACAAATAATAATATTATTACTGTCTCTTCCTGTTTTATCTTCCCCAAGCAAACGAGAAAAAAATTATATTCTTCCGCTTTAGTCTTCCCCTATCTTTTATCCTTACAGCCAAAACACAAAAAAACAAAAAAAAAGTGTTTTCTTTAAATAAAATTAAAAAAGCATCTCAAGGGAAAAAAAAAAAAGTAGATACATCTTTCGTTTATTTTATTCTGCTAAAATGAACAACTTAATGGAAAAATCACCTCAATATACTTAATTTGAATTTGAAGTGAGTTTAAGGAACTTTCTTTTTTTATTAATTATAATCAAAGGTCTTAATTGAAATTTTCTCAAGAAATTAATCAATGATGACGTGTCGTTTTCGGTAGCGGCCAAAACATACGTCGTCTGCGTCGTCTTCTACCTCATGACGGGTCTCTTCGACCCGCCTTCGGACCCGTCTCATAACCCGCTCTTAACTCAAGCTCCAGGGCTCCATTTTGCATGATTCGGAAGCCAGAATGATCGTAAATGACCGTATAATGGCTTTCCATGATTACAATGCAAAACCAAGGCCTCAAAATAGTAAACCGAGAATATCATGAAATCATGAAATACCAAAGTTTCGAACAGCAAGGCAGCGGATATATCTCTGATAGCAACAATAAACTTTAAATCATGCTCAGGAACGAAAGAGTAATGAAAGAACACTTACCTCCAGCTAAAATCACTTTTAAAGCTTGGTCAAAAATTAAGGTCTCGAACAGCGCAAGGAAGACGATATAGCTACAGTAAACTTCTGCTCTTCATGATCAACATAAAAGCAAGCGCAAGCACGAAATAGCCGTTGAAGAATCTCTTATGTACGGATATGAAAAGTCTTCAGAAGAAGAACCCAAGCCTAAAGATGGCTTTTAAATAGATGCGAAAGTTTGCTTCTCTAGTTAAAAAAGCATGATGATGTGTTTACAGCGAACTCAGAGAGAAGGATAAGAGAAGAGAGACTGAGACGAAGCGATCGAGAAGCCGAGAAGTGCAGCTATAAAAGCGTGAAACAATGAACAGATTTATGGAAAATGGAAAAAACAGTGTCGTCACGGCTAACGCATCTGATGCCTTTTTTAAAATGCGACACGTGGTCTGTATCCGTTGTTGTAATTAAATGGGGCCCATTGGTTTGGTTTGGGGCCACACTGCCCACAGGTGCTATCTCGTGGCGCCGGTGAATCTCGCAGGAATTCTCAGTTAAAAAAAAAAACAAAAAAAAGAATCTTGCAGGAATTCATGAAAAGTTAAATGGAAAAAATGTCCTCAACTTTTTTTTTTTCCCCAAGAGCATGTTTAAATTAAAAAATTTATACTTGAAATTATGATTCAACTAAAATTAAGAAACTGAGATTAAAAAATTTTAATTAATATAACATAATTTATATTTAAATATTTTTTTAAAGTTAGTTAGATAAAGTAAAATTTATTTAAATAATTTGATTGAAATGCCAGTTAAAATTTTTAACGTTTGTTTTTGTATATATTTTTTTCCTAATTAATAAGTAAATATTCAATTAATAAATAAAAAATTTTAAATATTTAATTATGAAAAGCTAAAATAAATTTATAAATTATAAAATATTCAATTAATATGATTTATAAATTGATCTCTAATTATATCACGAATATTTTTTTGTATATCTAAATTTGGGCATTTTTCATATAATTGTAGTATGTTTTGGTATATATTTACCAAAAAGGAGAGTTGCTCTAGTAGAGTTTAAGCTATCTTATCATTATCATTATTATTATCATTAGTTAGATCTAATGTTGTGAAAACCGGACTGGACCGGGTGGTCCGACCGGTCCAACCGTCACCTGCTGAACAAAACGATCCGGTTCAACCAATTGAACCAATCTAACCTTTGACCCGAGTTGACCCGAATTGAACCGGCTGGTTTTGAGAGAACCGCATTGACCCGAAAATTGAACCTAGGTCAACCCGGTTTAAAGCTAAAAAAATTTAAAAAAAATAGGCTGAGTTGCTTAGATTCACAATTTCTCTTCTCTAATCACTAATTCTATCTTCTCTTCTCTTCTCTAATCTCTAACCTCTCCTTCATGGCCCAAACTCAATCTCTAACTCCTCCTCCAACATCTGCCTCCAACTCTAAAGATCCAACCTTTAGCATTAAGATCGAAAGCTTGTGAGTCATAACATGACGGCATACCTTCAACTCCAACATTTTCCTTTGAGATCACAAGCTTGTACTAACATGCCTCTACCTCTAGCTCCAACAATCCAAGCATCTAGCTTTTGGGATCGAGATCCCAAGCACCATTAACAAATTAATGTTTTATTTATATAATTATGCATATAAATTTTATTTTTTATTTAATTTTTATGTCACCGGTTCGACCGTCGATCTAACCGGTTAGACCATAAAAACTGCGACCCGTTGCTCTTTCCGATTCGATATCTGGTCCGGGTTTCAAAACATTGGTTAGATCTTGTATTTGAGTCCCATTTTATTTTATTTTATTTTATTTTTAGCCTCATAAAATTACAATTGTGCCTTCACTTTAATTAGATTTTTTTCCCTCTTTCCTTCTTTCCTTTTCGATCATAGCTAGAGACAAAAAGTAAAAAAACTAGGAACCCTTAGCCATCTATATCATTTTTTCTCCTTCCTTCTCTGTTCTCAACTAGTCATTGACATGAGAAGGAGTTACCCCTGTGAGTTCATCATTTGAGCTCTTTCCTTCTACGATTGAAAATGCTGGCGTCGATTGTGATTCTTCGGTCTATGTGGTTGTGTATCTGTGTTTAGATCTTTTCCAATCATCTTCTTCCTTGTCCATCACTGTGGGTTTGCATCTTATGAGCCCATCTAGACTTCTCCCTCTATTTTAGCTATGTGTTGCTAGAATACAGTGGGCTATTCATGGTATTTAGCGGCTTGAGTCACAAGTTCTTTTCTTTCCTATTTCATTAGCTTCTTCCTTTTCCTTCCTTTTTATGTTGCTACTTATTAAGGTGAGAAGCATTGAACTCTTCTCGCATCCAAAAGATGACCATTGAAGCTAAGGAAGCATAAATCTTATCAAATGAGGTAGACATTGTTAAAGTAGGGATACTCTCGATAAAGGGGAAGGGACGACAACACTGTGAATCAATGTGATCAACACACATGGTAGAGATCGAGTCTCGGTGGCTGTTATCTCTCATCAAATCTGACAGACTTTGGAGAGTAAAGGGCGAGCTAAAGAAACCATGGACAACAGTAGTGAAGAAGAGAACCACGGGCTCGGATTGTAAGGTCACCCTTACTTATTTACAATTAACTCGACAAAATCAAGGTAATCATGGGAATAACCCAAATGAATTACCAAGTTTGTAAAATTTTTATAAATGGAATCTCAAATTTTCAAAACTTTAAATGATATAAAATTATTTCATAAACTAAAATCAGAGCAAAATATGTATAAGGAAGTATGGATATCATATAAAATAAGGTAACATCAAATATGGGTTAAAAAAGCAAAAACAAAGATTTTGGTAAAATATGCTACAATATAAAATTTTATACTGCAGAAGCCATGACAACAGCAAAAAGCTATCATGGCAGACTTTCTACTTGAACTTTCGACGGGCACCAAATCTCCGTCTAACATCCAATTGAGGTGATCCAGGCGTTTATGGAAAGCTTTCTCTAAGCTTTAAGTAATGGCACTAGTTTCACATTTAAATTATTTCTTAATCAAAAGTCGGACACCAAAATACAAACTCACTTATTTATGCTTTCGAAACACAATTAGGGTGTCCAAAACTCAATTCAAGTGCCAAAAGCCAACACCAATCCTTAGACCACACTCAATAAACTTAAAACAATCTATGTAACATACTACAATAATGAGATATCACATATTTTACAATTTCAACCCTTAACCCCTTGATTTAAGAAATAACAGGGGGAGGCATTTTGACTTCAAAATTCAATATAATCCAATACAACTATGCTTATAGTCAAATTTATATTTGCACTAGTATTTTGACCTTGCTCATATATTTCAACTAAAAAGATACCACACGCACTAGACCAAAAATACACCTTTCAATACTCAATATTCAATAGTACAAGTAATAACAAAATATGATCATCCTATTTGGCAATATCAATTAATTACACATGTGCAACTAAAATTACAGGAGGCCTATAGTAAGAAATCGAGTTTCCAAGCCTCTAGTGCTTTTCCTTTATCTTTCTTAGAACTAGTGCTTGTAAAATGTTAAATAAAAGGGTGAGTACAACCACTCAGTAACCAAATTTCATCAAATCTATACAGTTGCATATCAATCAAAAACGAATGCAATTAGTAATAAACACACATATAAAGTATGTATGATAATGTATAGCTTCAGCTACAATAGTAACAACCATGTGACTGGGCTTCAAACACATAATCACATATATATATATATATATCAATAATGCACAACCTAGGGTCATAATAATACCAACTATGCGCCCCTAAACTACATCAGACCACAATACTAACAACCCTGTGGCTGGGACTAAATGCATGATCATATACCAACCTTATACCCTTTTGATTACCTCTAACATGAAATCGGTGGCTATTCAGTAGCTACACCCTTCACGGACTAAGCCAACCTTCTACTTGTGAAGAGCTATTGGGCCAAGGTCAATTCACTTACTTGTGTGATCCAGTTTTTCTCAATACTAATAATCATGGGGTGTCGTACTCCTAATTTAGCCTTCTCATAAATCATGGAGACTAGTTAGGTTCGAGTCCCTCATAGAATAAGAGGGACAGTACCGAATTAATCATGGAATAAGGACTACCTCCCGATTTTAATAATTGGTGCCAAGGCAAATTTTCAATTCCAACAGTCACTGCCAATACCACGTGAATTTATCGATCTACTCCTCTCCCTAGGCAAACTCCAACCGATGATCATTCTATGCACTATACCACATATTCATACATCTCAATCATCAATCACATAGCATGGATTCATATGTCCATACTCACATAATTCACTTCACATACCAAATACCACATAACAAATAGTATATACTCATATAATCTCAATTATCATCATTATTCATATGTAAGTGAACACAACACTTCAACCATATCAAATTCTCAAATATGCCAATTTTGCATCAAGAGTTTAAAATAGCAAACATGTTTCAAATCATTCATTTCAATAACAATCCATTAATATTCAATTATATAAACTAGATTTCCTTCAATTACCTCAAACTTTTGAGAGGTCAAAGGTTACCCCTCAATCACAACTTACTTTTCGAGCTAAATTCAAGCTCACTGGTGCTTTGTGAGGTTAGTCTACAATTACATTAACACCCATCACTAAGAATCACTAAAATCACTACTTCCAACATCTAATTTCATATTTTAATAATTAAATTTCTCAACTACAAAATAAATCTCACATCCAATGAGTTCTTTAACTCCCATTAACTTTATTTAGCTCTTAACAACTTAAATAATCACTAATATATCATCCAACAATCCAAAATCATCATTAATATCACAAATTACTAACTTCCAACTCTCAAATTTCAACACTTTAATAACCCAAAGCTCTCAACTATTGAGTTTAATCACCACATTAGGTTTATTAGCTCTTATTAGCTCCAACTAACACTAACACAATCCTTAATCAACATCAATGGCAACCACATACCTCAAGCACCACCATTTTTGGCATTTAAATGCACAAATTCATCTATAATTGAGAGCCCACTCTTATGGACACATAAAACCTCTATCTTTAGGCTTATATAACTCAAACAACTCCTATTAACTCCATTTAAGTCAATGGTTTTGGACCTAAATCTCCCAAGGTCCAAAATAATCTTTTAACTGCAAACCTTAACTTAAAAATAGGTAGAGAGGAAGAGAAATGGTAGGGAAGACTTACCTTAGTGATTAGAAGCTCTAAATCTTCCTAAAACACTAGCAAAATCATGCCCTAGTAGAGAGGATCACGAACCCCTTTATTCTCC